TTTCAGTTGTCATTGATTACTTGTTATGTTACTTTGATCATGTAAAACTAAACAATACATCTCTCAGACACGATTTCTCAAGTGCCACTATTGTAATGGTCCGCGACGAATTGCAAAACAGCATAAATATCCTGTCTTTTATCGAAAGATATTTACGAATATTCGATAGGGAGTTTTGCTGGCCTGTTACGTACGAAGAAAGAACTTATGGCATTTCTAATGCAGTCAGGTTCGTTCAATTTCATACGCAACCATTAGCAAGTCCTCCTCGCAATTATCGGCCCAATCCTTTAAACACAATACAATATATAGTAGATAATATCTATCAAGTTACCAGTGAATTCCAAAATCGTTACAAGGACATTGGATTTAAATATAGTTCAAAATCGTCTGATGACTCTGATTAAAAATGAAAATATTTCAATATAATAATTCAATTAAAAGATAAATTATTTTTTTAATTTCACACTGTAATACTATCTTAATTATAGACAATATTAGCAACTAATTTTACCAACTTTAAATATCACAACTATTTGTCATTTTAATAATCAAATTTAAAAACTATATAAAAAAAGTACTCAAATCATTTGTAAAATACAAACAATTTAAAAGAATTTTTTTTTATATATGTATTAATGGTTTGTAAATAATTTAGCTTCAAATTAAAGTAAAATTCCAATATTAATGTTTTATTTGTTGTATTCCTTTTACTATTATTTTTTGTTTGCAACTATCGGTTTTTAAAATAGACTTTTTTTGTGAAACAAAAAAACATATATTCAATTACTTTTCTTGATAATCTTACATATCGCACATCTAGATCAAAACTGTAACGACTGAAAAAGTGAATGTTTTTAGTTATTTTTATTCTCAGATTCTACAAACGAAGTTGCATGAAGCAACAAAACAAATTTAAACTTATCTTGATTAAAAAATGGCACTGTAGGTACCTTTTGTAAAAATGACAACTCTCATAATCCTAACTACCCAAACTTTTTAAAATTTTAGTTTCTGCCCAGATATCAAGCGGAATGCATGTACGTTGGCTGTACTAAACTGTTTTATTAAAATAAACAGTTAAAGTTTAACTAACAAGGTTATGAAATTAAACTTGAAAATAAGTTTTTTCGATTTCCTGAAAAAAGGTGTTTTTTGAATAGCACAGTTTTGATCTAGGTGTGCGATATGTTCACTATTGGCTTACTAAAATCAATCATATTTTAACTCTAGAAATTATAAAACTGTATTTAGTAGTGTATTGGGGTATACAAATTTTCAGAAAATCAATCGTATTTTACAGTAGACAATATTTATTAGATATCTTAAAACTGCTAGTTTTTGTTTTACACAAGAGAAATTTCCACTTTTAAACAGTATTGTAAATGTATTTTTTATATAATACAATTTTTATATTAAAGAATAATACAAAATTGAAGTATGCGTACAATATGTAGTATAACAATATGCGTAATGTTATAAAGGCAAGTAGTAGTATATCGACTTATTTTTTTTTATTATATTTTCTCATTTGAAGCGTTTGTACAAATAAGAACGACGACAGCAACAGCAGAAAACACAAAAACAATTTCGTTTTAACTCCAAATGAAAAGGTTTTACATTAAAAACTACGCTTTGATAGTGAAAACAAAATCGTTTTCTAAAAACTATTAGGTCATTGTCACTGTTAAAAAATACCTAATCCTAACAACCCATAAAATAATAATGGCCTTCGACATGTTTGAGAATTTTTAATTATTAACAAATTTCGAAATTTGTAGAAATAGAAATGATTTTGAAACCCATTCATTTGATCACGCATTCTTCAATTAAACTACTTGTTATTTACCGCTAACTACTAATAGGTGTCAGACGGCCGGGTAGGTTACAGACTCCGAGGGGAGTGTGGATATCCGTATTAGGTTAGCTATCTATCAGATCAGAAGCGATCTACTTATTAAAAAAACGAGTTTCCGGAACTGCTTGCTTTACAATTAGAGTAATTTTTTTTTTTTAATTAAAAGAAAATATGTCTAAAGTTAGATGGTTAAATATCAAGTGTCCGGTCTTGCTTACTTCGTGGGTAAGTAAGCAACAATTTATAACAGAAAGAAATGTCTAGAATGACAGGCGGCTAAAATATCGTATCAAGCATTTGATATTTTAGTTAGGTATTATGTGTACTTAGGTATACTTATGTCCTGAGTCGATCAACCTCATACCACGCTACGTGCTCTATGGGTCGATAGCGTGATCGGTAACATTTGATTTTTGATTATTCGAGTTTCCGGTACTGCGGAACAGTTAAATAAAATATCTAAAGACAACTCTTTTGATAAAACATGCTATAGGGACTTGAAATAAAAAATGTATTGTTTTTAGATCTGGACATATATGTATTCAGTGCATCTAATGTATATTATTGATCATATTTCATAATGTTATATTGTTTTGATAATTTGAACTGTTTCAATAAGTTCAAATAATAAAACCAAACAGTATACATTATTTATGAAAACAAATCCAGCATGTCTAAATCAAGCACAGTAAGAAATTACCAAAGTAGAGTTCAGTGTCCACAGATTCGCGTATTCTTGAATGTGTTTTTAAATCACAGATTTAAAAAAACGGAATAACGTGCCTCAACTTGTACATAATGTTGTGCCTAAATATCAATATATTCTAGACTAATTTTAAAGTAAACTGGCAAAGATTGATGTTTTATTTATTGAATTCAATTTACTTTATCATTTGTTCTCATTTTTCGTTTTCTAAAATTGTAATTATTTTGTAAAACAATAAACATACATTTGATTACATATCTTGATAATTATACATTTATTCACATTTATTTTCCTAGTAATAATAAACTTCTTAAACCTGAAAATTATAAAACTGTATATACAGGGTAATTCATTAAGAATAAGACAATAATTTTCTCGAAATGTATTAATATTTTGAACAATATTTTTTCTGTTATTTTTAGATACACTTTGTACTATATTTTTCGATATTTCGAACATTTTTGTCACCAATCCTTATAAGTGAAAAGGTTGGTTTTTTCAAATGCAAACATACATTTTGAATTGTATACATTTGTAGACAAAAAATAAAAAAATATGTTAGCGTTTAAACTTTGAATTTAAATTTTAGCTGGGGTTTAGTATCTATTATATATGATAACAGTTATCACAGATGATAATCTAGTGTCTACATAATACACCAGGTATCCCGGAATAATTGAGTGACCAGTAACCATATATTTTATTATTTGTACAAAAATTTGCTGGCCTACTCCACTCGAAGAAAGGACTAATGGCGTTTCATCAGCTATCAAAATCATTACGCGGATATCAGGTCATCCCAATCTTATAAACAGACTGGAAAGTATATATAGTGCCCTCAGTGAAGTTATTAGAAAATTCATTAAACAATACGGCCAATTTGGTTTTGAGTATGATTCAGGTCCGTTTAATATGGATAATTAAAAATGAAAATATTGAAATATCGTTCTAAGTTATAAGATAAGTTTTCAATTTTATTTAAATTTCACACTGTAATACTGTCTTAGTTTAAAATATAGATAATATAAGATACTAATTTTTTTTTTTTTTCTCTTGGCTTTACGGGCCATTTAGGTCCATTGCCGCACCAACCACTTGCCTCCAGCCATCTCTATCTTGAGCTAGTTCTTTTGCGTCGTTTACTCCCAACCTCGATGCATCTTTTGTAATCCTGTCTTTCCACCGCTGTCTGGGCCGTCCTCTCGGCCTTCTTGTGTCTGGCATCCAACTCGTTGCCAATCCTATAGGGCCTTCGGACCTCCACACATGTCCAGCCCATCCCAGTCTACTACTCTTAAGCACTCCAATTATATTTGTTTCGCCGTACAGTTCTTCTACTTCTCGGTTTGTTCTTAATTCAAAGTCCCCTAGGGCGTTTCTTTTTGGCCCAAATATCCTTCTAAGGACTTTTCGTTCAAACGTAGCTAGTCTATTCTCATCCGTCTTTGTTGTTGCCCATGCGCCACAGGCGTATAGTGCTACCGGTCTTATCAGAACTTTTTACAGCGTTATTTTCGTTTTCCATGATAACATCTTTGACTTGAGTAGGGGTACTAGTCCAAAGACGTTTACCCCTAAGTATTTGAAGTTTGCCACCCTTTCAAAGTTATAATTATTCACTTCCAAGTGTCTTATTTCATGATTGTGTCTCGTGACTATCATGTACTTTGTTTTCCCCTCATTCACCATTAATCCAATTTTTCCACTCTCTTCTAACAGTTTACTAGTAGTTCTCTTAAGGTCTTCCTCACTCTCCGCCATTATTATAACATCATCTGCGTACCCTGCTACTACCAGTTGTTGGCCATTTCCCATTTTGATTCCTGTTGCTCCAGTTAAGGTTTCTCTCATAGCTGATTCCAGCGCTATATTAAAAAGGGCTGGTGACAAGGCATCTCCCTGTCTTAAGCCTGTCCTTACCTCAAATTCTTCTGATTCCTCCCCTCCGTACTTTACTTTGCATTTCGACCCATGCACACATGCTCTAATCATTCTTATGATCTTTCTTGGTATCCCCAATTGGTCCATTATTTTCCATAGTCTTTCTCTATTCACTGAGTCGTATGCAGCTTTGAAGTCCACAAACAGTAAATGCACATCTTTGTCAAACTCATGACTTTTTTCTACTATCTGTTTGACAACATGAATTTGGTCCAGTGTCGATTTACCAGCCATGAAACCTGCTTGGTAATCTCCAATAATTTCCTTTATGTACGGTTTCAATCTATTGAGTAGAACATTCGATAATACTTTGTACGAGGTATTAAGTAGAGAAATCCCTCTATAATTTGTACAGTTCATGGTGTCACCCTTTTTGAACACCGGGCATAGTACAGAGGTGCGCCATGCTAATGGTATTTCCTCTTGATCCCAGATTTTATTAATTAGCTTATGCAGCTGCTTTATCAATTGCTCTCCTCCATTCTTAATACATTCTCAATCTGCTCCAGGGGCTTTCCCACTCTTTAGCATATCTAGCCCAGTCTCCACTTCCTGCATTGATGGCCGTTCAATATTTTGTTCAACCGTGTCACATTCTTCTGATACAACATCTCTTGTAGGTTGATTTAATAGTGTCTGAAACATGTTCTTGAATGCCTTCGCTATTTTTCCATTTTCTGTTAACAGAGTGCCATCCTCCATTCTTATAATTGTATGTCTAGGTTTAAAACTTCTTCTCACCTCGTTCGCCTTTTCGAAGAATATCCTTGTGTTATTTTTCCGGTTTTTCTCTATATCCTTCACTTTTTCTTTTTCCCATAATCTTTTATTCGTCCTAATTATTCTTTTTGCCTCTCTCTGTCTATAAGCTAACATCCTTTTGTTCTCCTCTGTTGGGTATTGTACCACTCTTAAACGTGCTTTATCTCTATCTGCAACAGCTTCCTTACATTGTTCATTAAGCCATGGTTTTCTTTTTATCCTTGGTTCATGGCCCAAAACTTCTTCTGCCGATCTTTTGATTGCCGTTTTCATTTTTTCCCAACAGTAATTTATATCCATATCATGGTCTAAACCATCTAAGTAATCCTTGATTTTTTCTTTGTAATCTTTGGCCTGATTTATTTTCAGTAATTCTTTGTTAATTTTCTTTGTACACTTCATTCTTTTGGATTTTTCTGCTGATATTCTAAATTTGACCTTCGTTCTTATTAGGAAGTGATCCGAGACCGCACTGCTGCCCCTCATGCTTCTTACATCGTTTATACTTAATCTAATTCGGTAGTCTACCATTACGTGATCTATTTGATTCCTCACCTTCCCACATGGCGATATCCACGTCTGCTTGTGGATATTTTTATGCGGGAACATTGTACTACTTATTCTCATGTTGCTAGCAGTTGCAAAAGTTATTAGTTTATTTCCATTATCATTTGTATCGTTATGTAAGCAATCCTTTCCTATTGTCGGTCTATAAACTGCTTCCTTCCCTATTTTTGCGTTGAAATCACCTAAGATGACTTTTGGTTTTCCTGTTGGTAATCCATCGCAAATCCTATCCAGTTCTTCGTAAAAGGCATTTTTTATTTCCTCACTTTTGTCATCTGTGGGGGCGTAGCAGTTAATTATCAGTATGTTAAACCATTTACCTTTAAGCTCAACATAGCATATTCTATCATTTATCGGCTCAAATCTCACAATATTGGGCAGGATACTGTTCTTAATTGCAAAACCCACTCCTCTCTCGTGTTTTTCTCCTCCGCTATAGAAGATTGTCATCTCCTGTGTCTTTAAACTACCTGCTCCATCCCACCTTACTTCTTGAACAGCGGTGATATCCAATTTGTATCGTTCAAGACACGATACAATTGTCGTCATAATTCCAGACCTATACATCGAGCGCACATTCCAGGTTCCAATTAGTATATCCGTAAGCTCTATTGTCCGAGGCATTGTTTGTTGTTGTTCCGAAATCATTGATGTTTTTATGTGTGAGGTGATCAACCCCACGACAACCCCCATTAATGGAGGGCCCAAAATAACTAGGGTCCGCGGGTTCGTTAGGCCCGTTCCTCTAAAATAGAGTACCCTTGCGGGCAGATACTAATTTTCTATTAGTTTTTATTAGTATTTTCTATTAGAGTTGGTAAGATACTAATTTTACCAACTCTAAATATTACGATTAATTGATATGTATAATAATATAATATGATATGGTTTATCTTTATTTTAGCTTAGACTTTAGGTAAAATTCAAAAAACAATATTTTAATTATTCTTTTTACTATTATTTTTGCGCAATTGCCGATTTCTAAAAATGTAATTATTTTGTAATCCAAATTTTTTTTAATATAATTATATTTCTTGATACTCTTACATATTTTGTTCACTATTTTCTGCTAAGAAGAAATAATATTTTAACCCTGAAAATTATAAAACTGTGTATATACCAGAATTAGGTGATTCCGTAGAGTTGTTACGAAGAGCTTTTAGTTTTTGAGTTTAAACTCTTTAGTTTCAAAATATATAATATTAACATAATAATATTAGTATATTAAATAACAAGCACAGACTAGGGTTTAGGGGTTTTGGTACATATAAAGTCGAAGAAGGCCAAATTACTAGGTTAGGTTTTAACTACTGTACTAGATAATATTAACCCGCTTAACTCACTTATATTAGTGTCCGAGAGATATAGTAATCAGTTACAGCAAATTTGAATTTAAACCATCAATCTATAATTTTCATTATTAAATATAAACAAGTTATTTTTTTTAACACTAATATTATGTTCGTTTGACAACCTAGCCTATCAGTACATGAGAAATCTTTTATAGGGACTTATATTAACCCACTTAGCTCACTTATAATAGAGTCCGAGAGATATAGTAGTCAGTTCTCTAAGTTAAAAAACCTAGACATCTTTGGTGACATTATTTCAACCTACCATAGATTTGTTTAGCAGTATTGAATGTGTATGACGGTGAGGGGTCGGTTCGGGGGAGTCCCCACCAATGTTTGACTACAGCAGCTACACTGTCATGCGAATGTTGTATATTATGCTGTACCTTGTGGTGTGTTGTCTTTGTGTTTAATTGGCTTATGATAATACTGACGGTTAATACTATATTTTTGTATAATAATATAAAAAGAAACTACTGATATCCCAACAACAACACTTTGTTAACTCAGTGTAAATGGTAGCTCAGTAAAGGCTGGAAAATAATTTTTTTCCTGCTATAGTTATCCTACTATGTCCCTATTATAACATGTGCTATATTTACTAGGTAGGACGTATGAAACGGCTTTAGGCCAAGTAAACTAACTTTATTAAAACCCAATATTTGCGTCCGAGAAGATTATGAAACAAATGCTAATGATGCAATCCTACCTTTTGAGTTAACTCATGACTCTATTAAAGAATCAAAATAAGACGATTGATATTGATACACCACCAGGATGGAGTACTTTTACAAACTCTAAGATAAGTACAAGTCTCTAAGCAGTGGCGCAACTAGCACAAAATCCTAGGAGGGGCTACAGCCCCACCTTAGTATTATATTATTAGTAACATGGGGGAGGCTTCGCCAGCAACCCCACCTTACCCACACACATCTTAAAATACACTAAAAAAATACCAATACTGTTCAACTTTTAATGATTTTTATACATTATACAATAATTATTAACAAATTGTTCAAGTTTCATTTTTCTTTTACATATAACTGTAAATTGTTGTAAAACTTGACCAGGATACAATTCCATATATTTTTCAATACTCAGTATGGATAAATTACTGAAACGATCTTAGTTTATTTTAGATCTTAAGTAGGTATTTATTCACCTCATGGCAGAAAAAGCACGCTCAGATGTTGCAGAGGAAATTGGCAATGTAATAGCAACTTGTACTATCTTGTACAAGTTTGGGAAAATTGTTTTTAAACCAGTTAGGAAACCAGTATTCACGCATGATACCACGATTTATATACCAAAAATATACACTTTATTCCCGTGACTATGATAAGATGACCAGATAAATTTAATCCTGACTTTGACCGAAGACAACATTTTTTTTTATTTTCAATTATTATGCACGATATTTTGATATATTTGTTTAAGTAACACCAATTTTGAAAATTAGTAATTTTGTTTTATTCAATTCCATATAAAGTATTATTTATTTTGAAGGGGGCTATTAATAAATTTGGGGGCTAACCCCATCCAGTCCCCCCTAGTGGCGCTTATGTCTCTAAGACTACTCATGAAATAAACTCATTCATGATTGCACATTATTATGTGCCTAAAAATTTGACTTATTGAGCGCTCAGTCTTAATATATTTTGAGAAGGGTCCACAAAATTATCTAAAGAGTTGGCGTCGTCACTTTTTACCCAAATTCTATCAATTGGTAATAATATCTTGCACGAGTCATTTACAAATTAATAACGATTACATGGAATAAATTTATCACAACATAACACTTGTCTTGCAATATCAGTTTCGATATGATTTCGTATCAACAAAAATAAAGATCGCTACTAATTACTTAATTTAATAAATAACAGTGGAAGATCCTGAATTATGTGTGAAACTGAAATTCTGAAAGTATGTTATACATTGGTGGATATAATCTTTTGTGCTTTTTTTTTATTTCCACAGCATCTGTTGGAAAGGGAATTTTTTTTGCGTCCGTAATATTTTGCACTTCTAACAAGACAAAAAAAATCCTTCAATTTTCCCTCGATTCTACATCAGCCTAAAATACTGTGTTGTCTAATTTACATTTTTTTGTGTAAGAGTATATTATTGCATTTACCAAGTCGACGCCAACACCCAGCGCTTCAGTTAATATTTATTTTGTCAGTGTTTACATAGTATACTGCAACATGTTCACACTTTTCTAGCATACCGTTTTAACAGACAAACTACCAATGCTGTGCATTAATATATTGAATATAGCGAGTATATGCTTTATATTCATGTTGTATCTCGATGAGAATAATTTAGCTGACGATATTGTTTTGAAATTAACCCAGCAGCAATTAAACCATGATGACTTTCAATTATTATTTTATGCTATACATGCTGTGCATGCGCGTAATGTGTGATGATGACGAGCGAGTCCAACAGTTAAGAGTCCTAGTCAAAAAAGAGGGATGGTCCATGCAAAAACATATACCACGGATTCGAGAAAATGGAAATTATCACGATGTGCACAATTTATTTACATCAAATTCCGTTGTGATAACACCTAATAACATTGATGAGAAACTACGGCACGTACGTTTGTTTTTGAGCTGCGACTACGCTGTTTTGTTAACCGAGTATTGCGATTATGTCAAAACTCTAGGACAAAAGTGCAAAAAAATAAAGAATCCTAACGAATCATTGAATTGTCTGCAACATTATCATCAGAAACTCAAAGACAGCAATCGGTGGATAGTGCGTATGATGGGGGCGCTCTCACATTTTGTCAAGTTATCACCAACCACCAAGTACAAAAAGCAAGTACCGGAGATCTTATATTATTTAAAAAATTATATTGATACCAAAGTAATAAATGAATCGGAATTCTACGGCGATAATGGAAACATAAAACCATTTAAAGTTCTTGTCCGTATTCAAGATATTGAGGATATTCTGACTAGTGTCGTAAGTTTTTCGCAGATGTTTCTAAAAAGTAACTGCTTATTGAAATCAAATTATGACAAAGTAATTCATAGTTTTTTAACCCCTTCGCCAGTAGAATCTATACCTATAATAATCGAAACAATTGATAAATGTATTGGTCTTTTTATAAAATTACATTACGAAGATTTTGGGTTTAAATTTGATACGATATCTAACATTACGTATGTTGACGATTCAAGCAGCATAGAAAAAATGAACGAAGGATTACATGAAGAAATGGTCAAAAAAAACATAGATAAATTTAATGATATATTATCATGTGCTGAGTGGGCTAAGCCTTACAGTTCTCTAGATGATGATTGTGGTATTGTTGACTCCGGATGCGAATACTCTTTCAATGTCTTATTTTATAGGTGTCCTGGTCAGAAATTAGTCAATAATAGAAATTATGACACGATAATTCGTCAAGCGCATCAGTCTGCAAGCTGCAAGTTTGCCCGATTTCTAAAAGACTATGTTGACTATGCGTATGGTCTTAGCTTTTATTGTGGAAAAACGGTAAATAGTGATGATTTAGAGAATTGGCAAAACTTGTTTATGTCAACCATCAAATACGGTAAACAAATGTTAATACCTATGAAATTTTCATTTTTGTCTTTCGACCAGTTGTCCCAGGAAATTGAATTTAATACCAACATTTCAGTTGTCATTGACTACATTTTATGTTACTTTGATCAAGTAAAATTCAACAGTCCGTCATTCCGCTTTACTAACTCAAGTGCCACAATTGAAATGGTCAGTGAGGAATTGCAGTACAGCAAAAATATCCTGTCTTTTGTCGAAAGATATTTACGCTTGTTTTTAAGAGAATTTTGCTGGCCTACTCCACTCCAAGAAAGAACTAATGGCGTTTCTCAAGCTATCAGGATCATTGATTCCCTTACACGACTATCAGATAATCACGATCTTATAGACAGACTAAATAATATATATTCTGTTCTCTATGATGTTATCAGCAAATTTATTGAACGTTACAAGCACTTTGGATTTGAAAATACTCGTACCTCAAGTTCGTCTGATGAATCTGATTAAAAATGCAAATACTAAAATATAATTCTCAGATAAAAGATAAATTATAACTTATTTTTA